CCCTCAGCTGCTCTCCCTCGGCTGCTCTGCTCTCCCTCAGCTGCTCTGCTCTCCCTCAGCCATTTGGGCTTCGGCTAATTCCAAGAGTAGCCCTCCTGGGAACTGACCAGCCCAGCCCACAGCTGTGGAGGACGTAAACTTGTGAACTCATTTGGAGACTTTCCCTTAAACAGCCTCTCGGCTCGCTGCTTACACGAGGTGAGTGGGAAGGTATTTCCCCAGGTTCTGCCACATGACACTCAGGCCGTAGGAGGTCCAGGAGTGGGCAGCAGAGCATGACACCATCCCGGATGCTGTGTTACTGGCAGGAGGACTCTGGGAATTTCAGATCCCAAGTTTCTACCCATATTTCAAAGGAAGGTCTGGGAGGCCAAGATGTGTAGCAGAGTCATAGCATCTTCACCTGAGCAGTGAGACTGGAGACTGGCAGTGCCAGGGAAGGCAGTGGGGGCGAGGCTTCCCACTAGACCCTGTGCCCTCCAGCCCAGGCCCAAGGCTCAGCAGCAGCGCATCCTGCTGGGCTGTGGCCTTCATTCCGTCCCCCTGTGGCACGCCTGTTCTTGCCAGCGCAGTGGGGGTGTTCATGCCGTCTGTGTCGGTGCTAGAGAACTCTGTTTTAACAGAACTCCCAGCGAAGAGTTTACACTAAGTCTCAAAGAGACTTTGGACCTTTGGAAATTGGTGGGATTACTAAGGCTGCTGGCACACAAGATGAACTAAACCTATTTTGCTGGATGAGATGGCAGTGAGCTTTGTGGGTGAGGGGTGGATTTTCCTTTTTCTAAGATGGAATCTTAGGCCTCCCAGGCTGGCCTCAAATTCGTTGTGTAGTCACGGGTGGCTTTGAGCTCTGACCCCCCCCCCCCCATCTCCTAAGTACGGGGATTCCAGTGTGTGCTGTCCTGCCCACTTCATGCACTGTGAGGAGTTGAACCCAGAGCTTCATACATGCTCGCCCTTTACCAGCTGAGCCACACCCCAGACCTAGGCATGGAGTGTCCTGGCTTCAATACAAAATGCCCATCACAGGCGCCGTGTTAAGGCCCAGCTGGCAATACCGGGGGTGAGCCTGTCTGGAGGAAGAGGGTCTTTGGGTCCAAGTCCTTAGGATGCCCTGTCCCTGGTGCCTAACCGTCCTTCTCCGTTTCCTTCTGCCATGATCTGAGCTGCTCCACAGTGCTGTCCCTACCCTGATAGACCAAAGTAAACCAATGTTCTCTCAGGAGATCCTTCTAGTCAAAGACAAGGAAAGGGCAGGAGTCCAAAGCCACACGGTGAGCCCTCTGGCCAGCAGCAAAGGGGAGATGCCCTGCCTTGTGGAACTGCAGAGCCAGCGGAGCCACCCCCAGTGACAGGGTCTGCCTGTGAGCAAGGACCACCCGTGTGAACCTGCAGAGCCCTCGCAGGGAGTAAATCGCCTGCAGGGAACAGAAGAGGGCCTTGCTGGCCCCACAGAAGGAGTTGCTGGGCAGTGTCCACCCTCCTCTGTCAGCTGGGGTGGACTCGGCACGGTCCTGTGTGTCCCTCAGACCACAGCAGGTGAGAAGTGCAGCCTGGGCACGGGTCCTGGACTGGGACCCCAGAGGGCACTGGGCGGCACCTCCGCTGTACTCTAAAACCTGCTCCTCTCCAAGCTCTTCCCATCACAGCTAGATGACGTGCTGCGACCCATGGGCATCTTTGCCCCCAGCTCTGGCTCCAAACCTCTTCAGGCCCTTGTCCCGCCCCTTCCTCTTGGCAGCAGTTCCCTTTACACGGACGCTGCCCCTTTCAGCTCCTCCCAGGTTAGAGCTGGCCGGAAAGCAGTGCCGAGATTGTGTCAGTGCGTGTGCTGGCCGGCACACACTCTTCAACCACAAAGAAAACGTGGAATCGTGCCTGGGCCCTCAGGCTTGCCCCTGCCTAGCAGTGAAAGGCTTGGCATTGGGAGTCTGGTTACTGCAAGTGTGTGTTTTATCAGTACAGAAAGCGTGGATTCCTGTAGAGAGCAGGGCAGGAAATGTTTGTGTGGTTGGTGTTGCCAGACTCTGCTTTAGAGACAGAGAGATGGAGTCTTACGGAGCCTGGGCTAGCCTTGAGTTCACCGTGAGGGGGTGGATTGGCGTTCCGGACTGTCCCCCGAGTGCGGAGTTCTGGGCTCTGCTAACCTGGGAGAACAGGTTACAGAAGGTTGGGAGATGCCACGTGCCTCAGTGTTGGAGCCGCCCGTGTACAAAGTGCAGGAAGCCTTTGCACTCACACATTGGAGATGTTTGTCTCTGTGTGCCGGGTGCCTCCTGCCCCCAGTGGCCTTTGGTCCCAGCCGTCCTCAACGGCCACTGCTGCCTCTGCAGAAGACAGCGGAGTGTGGCCCTAGCACGGGCAGGAGCGGCCATGCCAGCAGCTGAGCGCACTGTCACCACCAGGGCTAAGACTGCTGGTGCACTCATTGGCTGTCCTGAGCGTCCCTACAAGGTCGCGCAGCATGTGGGTGGCCGTGTGCTCAGAAGCCCTGGCTCCTCATCTGCCGGTGGGTAGTAGTGATCACTGAGAGGCCCTAGGACGTTAGTGGGCGTCCTTCTGGGTGTGTCTTCAGGCATGTCTCCAGAGGCTTCCCCGATGAGGGGTGTCCACCTGGCTGTGCCAGCACCCTCCGTGGCAGGGTACCAGGCTGAGCACAGGGAAACCGGAGGAAGCTCTCGAGCTCCGGCATCTCGGGCGCCATGTGCTAGTCCGCTGTGTGTGGAGCCCGGCTGTGCTCCCGCCCCGTGGAAGACTGTGTCCCCTCCCTTGAGTCACTTTCTGTCAGAAGTTCAGCCACAGCACCCAGAGAGTGAGGAGCACATCAGGCTCACGCTGGGCCTTCCTGGTCACACGTAGCCCGCTCTTGAAAGGCTTGCCTTTGCGAGATTCGGGGGATTTCTGCTGCCTTTTTTTTTTTTTTTTTTTTTGAGACAGAAAAAGAAAGGGATGGCTGGAGGGAGGTCAGAAAGGAGAGAAGGCTGGGGCCAGCCTCAGGCATCGCCCTGGGAATGCAGTCCACTGTACTTGGCATTTTTACATGTGTTCTGGGGGATCAGGCCCAGGACTTTGGACTCACATAGCTAAACGATTTATCAGCCGGGTCCTCTCAGCCTCTTTTTTGTTTTGGTTATTTTTTGAGACAGGGTCTCGTGTAGCCTAGGCTAGACTCAGATTCCCCCTGGAGCCCAGGATGACCCTGAACTCTTGGTGTTCCTGCTTGCACCGTCCAAGCGCTGGGACGGCCACTCATGCGGCCCAGACTTACCATCTTCTGACAGGTTTGACAGGAGGGGAATGGAGCTAGGTCTGATTTAGGGGCACTGGGCTTTCCCACAGTCCTGTGAGGAGCGCGTGCTGATGTGCGCTCTGTGCTGCTGACCTGGTCCCGTTTCTCCGCAGGTTGCCCGACTCATGGAGATGGGATTTTCCAGAGGGGATGCCTTGGAGGCCCTGAGGGCCTCTAACAATGACCTCAACATGGCCACCAACTTCCTGCTGCAGCAGTGACAGCCAGCCCCTGCTGATGGACACTGGTGTGCACCAGCCCCACAGCCTGAGGGCAGAGCAGATGAGAGGGCGGTTCCCTGCTCTCCACTCCAGGATGGTGACGTGTAGCAGCGAATAAGTTTGCCATTAAATTAGCATGTATTTTCTATATTTTTATGGGCATTTCTCAGTTTGGAGAGTCGTCATTCTCTGTTCAGGCGCGTGGCCGTTGCAGGTTTCTGTGGCAGTTTATCCGTTGCAGGTTTCTGTGGCAGTTTATGGCATTGCAGAGGAGGACAGGTCATGTGACCTCAGACCGGCTGTGTCACACTTCTCTTTATGGACTGGTTTGTTCTCGTAGGTTTGTGCTCACATCCCAGAGGCTGCTGTGCTCACACTGCACAGGCCGTGTCCTTCAGGCCTCAGCGAGGGAGGGAGCGGGACCTTGGACTTCTGCAGCCCAGGGTCTGTGCCAGCATCTCCCGCTTTCAATAAGGCACAGGTTCCGGGAGGTTCCCAGTACTTCCCTGGGGTTACTTCGCTCAGAATGCCCTAGAGTCGCCGCTCGGGCTAGGGAGGATGCAGCAGAGAACGTTGCTTCCCGGAGCCTTGTGCGTGGAGCACAGCGCTGGCCGGCGGCTCAGCCCCGGGGAGAAGAGCTTGCTCCAGCCTGCCTCCGGCTGCCACAGGCCCTTTGCACACACCAGCTATTCTGGCAGCGGGTTTCCCCTGCCCCATCCTTGCCCTGTTGTGGAGGAGGCAGTGCCCACTGTGGAGACACAGCGGGAGGGGTGGTCCTGGGAGTGAGAGCTCCAGGAAGTGACCATTGTCCTGTAAGCAAACTGCACTGCGTTCGTGCGGTGTGTCAAATTGATGCAAACTTGGGTGTGTGATACTTACAATAAAGTTTTTATGTGTTTCACTTTTCAGTAGTCTCTATTAGACTTCCCCAAACAAACTTTACTCTAGGCAATGCCACCGAACAGAGAAACGAGCGCATGGTCCCTGAGAAAGCCAAGGCCTGCGGGTGCGCTCCCTCCTGCCACAGCCTGCCGTCCCCCGGGCCCTGCTGTGCAGAACAGGTTCATGGCTCTGCAAGCCCCGTGTGAGCTGCCGTGGCCAGCCTGGCGTGTGAGGACCGTGGCCTCCTTCCTCACCAGCCAGGGCCCGTGTGATGATGCGCCTGGACATGGCCGAGCAAAGGGAGCCCCTGAGCCCCGCCGTGCGGTAGCTGCGAAGCACCGTCCAGCAGGCAGGCGGAGTCCTCACCCTCCCCGGCTCAGCAGCCTCGTGCTCCCCGGGAGCAGCACCTTGTGCCCAGCCTGTGCACACTCAGCCGGCCTCCCCGCCGATGGGAAGTTGACGGGGCCAGAGAGCTCAGGCCGTGGGCTTGGACGGGTGCAGGCTAGCCCCCATTTTCCAGCACGCAGCACACTGGAACGGCAAAGAGCAGAAGAGAGCCATCCGTACTGAATGGACGTGTCCTTCTGTGGCCGGGGTAGGTCCTTGTTGCTGTTGACAAAATCGCTGTCAAAACAACTCAACAGTTTATGCTCACACTTGCAGGAGTGGAAGGCGAGCTGCCGGAGCGTGAGGTCACACTGTGTGTGAAGGAATATTTGTCCGAGCCTGGGGGAGACTGCAGTCAGCAGAGGGCAGCCCCTTCCAGACAGTGTTCGGGCAGCATGGTCAGAGCAAGTTCCTGAGAGCAAGGGCTGGAGTGTGAGGAACCCCGGGACATGGAGTCAGAGGACAGTGACCCCGGGATTGGGAGGCCGGAAGAGGTGTGCAGAGAAACAGTGAGCCAGGTTCACCAGGAGCTCAGGACAGAGCCCTCTATCTCCAGAGCTGGGGGAGGAGTAAGAGTGAGGGCTGAACTAGTGGTGGTGTGTGCGTGTACCCCAGGGCTCAGGAGGCTGAGGCAGGAGAGTCTGTCCCAAGTGTGAGGCCAGCCTGGGCTACAGAATGAGTTCCCAGCAAGCCTGGGCTACAGGGCGAGACCCTGACTCCAGAAATGGACTCCAGAAATGGAGGGAGGGAGGGAAGTTGAAAAGGCTTCTCTCTGCTTTACGTTTTCCTGTTTAGCAGAGAAGAGGTGGTGGGCTGAGGCTTGAGGAGGAGCAGCAGGCTGGTCTGCAGACATGAGGATAGCCAGGGCCCATGCTCCCGCCACTCACCAGCTCTGGTCTGGTCTGCCAACCCTTTCCACCAGTCTGAGAGGGTCAAAGGCGCCTTAGGGATCCCCCCTGCTTCCCAAGGGGCCGAGTCTGTGGCCTTCCCAGTATGCTCTGAGCTAGTGTAGGCGTCTGAGGAGACTCTGAGGGAAGAAGATGAAGTTAACACCTGAGGAGCACAGAGGAGGAATCCTCTCAACCACATTGTTTCAGGGTCTTGGTCCTTATCTGAACACAGAAACATCTTGACAACACTGAGAAACTGTTTCCAACTAACCAGACTGGGGCACTCCAGGCCATCACCTTCACCAGAACAAAATGGCAAAAGCAGCACAAGTGTAGTGTGGGCCCAGAATATAGAGAGAAGGCCTCTGCGTCCCTTAGCATGGTCTCAGATCTGACTGACGCCCACTGCAGAGGCTCCTGTGAGCCACACTGAGGTCACACCCACACAGGCACATATACACACACTCTCACTTTCAGGCACACAATCCTTAAAGAGGCCCTTCTTATGTGAGCCATGTTTTCTGTGAGGGAAATGGAGCCTGGTGGGTCAAGGCTGAAGCCAGCTTTCCACAGCCCTGCTGTCCCCCGCTGCCCTTGGCCTCAGCAGCACCATGTGCTACAGACCTGGGTGCTGGAGAAGGGGAGGCCTCCTGGGCAGCTTTAGACCCCCTGGAATCGTCTTCACCCACAGCCCCATTCCCTGTGAACGGAGGGCTCACCAGCTGGCTCCCAGGGCTAAGGGCCCTGCGAACGTGACAGCACAGGAGACCTGGCCCCTTCCTTCTGAGCAGGCCTGTCCCCAGGTGGAGTCTTCTGTTTGCAAAGATTTTCTTCAGCTTTTCACTGTATCCAGGGCCCGAGGGATGGGGAACAGAACTCTTTCTCTCTCCCCCTCCCCCTCTCCCCTTTCTCTTCCCCACCCAGTCTCTCCCTCTCTCCTCTCTTTGTCTCTCTCTCCCTGTCTCTCTGTCTCTGTCTCTCTGTGTCTGTGTCTCTGTGTGTTTCTCCCTCTCTGGAGGGTGTGTCTCAGTGATGTGGCATATCTGTGCAGACTTTGTAAAACCTGCCTGTGGGACCCGAGACTGGGCCCAGTCCCACATGATAAAGCTGTAAGGACTCAGGGGGGCTTCCTGGAGCCTTCCAGGAGTTTGGGTGTGCGCAAAGAGGAACGTGCTACCTGAAGGCTGCCTCAGAAGGGAGAGAGCCTTTGTTTTAGTTAAGCAGGAAGAGTCTAGAAAATACCTGGAAAAGCCAACCCTCTGGCAGCGGGCACCATGTCTGGGCTCCCGTCCCACATGGATGGGCGCTCCAGCTCAGGGAACACACTGAGCCACATGTGTGATCATTTTAAAACTTGTTAAAAGGCAGACTGCCAATACGGCGCAGCAGGTAAGGGCACCTGCCACCATGCCTGAGAACCTCTCAAATCCCTGGGACCCACAAGGAGAAAACCAACTCCTGGAAATTGTCCTATGGCCTCCACATGTGTGTCATGGCACACACACGCACACACTCACACACAATGTGAAAGATTAAAATAAATAATGTTAAAAGAATAAAAACCAATGCCTACTCCTAGCTTATGTTTGACTCTGTGAACAACTTTCAAACCAAGGAATTTCTTATTATCAAATGTCTGAATGCAGCACTCAGAACCAAGCCAGTATGTGAAGAACTAACTTTAGGATGTCGGTGGGAGGGAGTCCAGGGCCTGCCCAGGGCCATGGGCCATCCCAGAGGTGGCACCATCTGTGGCTGCAGCCTTGGGCCTGCTGTCTGCAGCCAGACGGTTTCGGGGAACACTTCAGACCATCCGGGAAGGCAGGGACCTGACGTGAGACCTGAGGCCAGCACGGGCGCAGGGGAAGCTCCTGCGGCCAGGGTTGCTTCCCTCGGCCCTGCCCACACTCAGACGCATATCGGGGCCCTTTGAGTGGCAAGTATTCAAGGAATGAGCAACTAAGGTACTGCATGGCAAATTATCTTCCCCACAGTCCCCACTGCTCTGACAGCAGGGAACCTAGTGGACGCACTCACAGGCCCGCCTGTGCGCTGGCAGTTAGTGAATTAATGTTCATATTTTAGACAACCTATTTCTTTAGTTATTGACATGGGTTTAAGTGGTGTTTCATTTTATCTTGTTTGGTTGGGTCTCAAGTAGCGCAGGCTGGCCTCAAATTTGATATGTTGCCAAAAGTGACCTTGAACCTCTGACCCTCGGACCCAGGGCTTTATGCACACTGGGGCAAGTTCTTCTGTTTCCCTTAAAGAAGGGGCCTGCTATGTGGCCCAAGCTGGCTTCAGGACCCTGCATTCTCTTCAGCCTCCTGCATGATGGGGTCACAGAGGTCACAGTCAGCAACACAGCACAGCACTGACATCGGCCGGGATCTATCAAAATCTGCGGTCCGAATGGCGCATCGGGCTCTCTCTCCCCGTCTCCCACACCACCCTCTGCCCCTTCTGGTTGTTGCACTCCTGTTTTGATGGCAAGTTTGGTTTGGGGAGCCATTTGCCAACACATTCCATTCAGCTCTTAAGAAAGCACCCTCCGTCCTCTTCCTTTTTTTCCTCAGTGCCAGGCATCAGAGACAGGGCATCACACATGGTTAACAGGCCTGGTTTCCCACCCTCATCCTTCGTTATTCGTCAATTTCCATAACCAAATTATTTTATTTCAAAGGAGCCGACTTTAGTGAGTTAGCGAGGCTTGGGCAGTCTCCGCCATGGCTTGGTGAGACCTGTTGTGTAGAGAGCCAGTGCCTGGCCACTGCCAGGCCTCATCAGCTCTCCACATTGGCAAGTGAGCTAG